AAAAGTATGCATCTGCTAAAAATCTCCCAGATTACCCAGATCCATTGAAGGTTTTGAATTGGATTTTTTTGCCACTCTAKTTTTGTTTTAATTTGCATTTAATGGTTTTCGTTGAGAGACCTTATCCTGTCTAAAAAGGAATCTAATTCATATCAAACCTCCTATCTTATAAAAACATGGTAGCAAATCTTACGAATTGCTTAATGTCATGCGTGTTTTTTAAAACTTTACCTGTTGTCGTTATTTCTTGCGTCTTGGGCTTTGTTGTTGTCTGAGATGTCGTCGGGGCAGCTGCTGAAATTTAATTCGACAAGACACTTACCAAAAGTAARTTACCATACATTGCAGGTTATCCAGCTGACAAGGCAACAATAATATAAAGTCAAAGTTAAGTCCGCAACGTGTCACCATTTAATATCAGATGTTATTTTCACAGTGTATTGTCATTGCTTTTTAGCACACTTGTCTGAATTGCCAATAACAAAACGAACAACTTATAGCAGAGCACAATTTGTTTAATTGAGTATTCTTGTGGAAATCTACTAAGAAGGTAAATGCAAAATGAATGACTTTATTGTTGYCTCTTCATTCTTTGACCGTATATCAATGGCACACTATGCTGTTTTTCATTAAAGGCGCATTACTTGTTTACGCATTGCTCAATGTCATGCATTCTTTAAACTTTACCTGTCGTTATTTGTTGCGTCGTGGCCTTCGTTGTTGGTTGAGATGTCGTTGGAGCAGCTGCTGCAATTGAATTCAATAAGACGCTTACCGAAAATACACGGTTRTATTGTCATGCATTGATTGTCCAGTTGAACTAGGCAACACTGTCACAATTAAACCACTTAATATTAATTTTATTTTCACAAGTGTACAATGATTGGCTCAGAGTGTGTCCAAAGCAGGACCGCTATTCAGACTTCACTAACACTATCATCTTTCGCGCGCACTCATTTGAAAGAAAAGKATGACTTTTGCACAGAATAAAACCATAAACGATATTTTTTGTAATATAAGGCGTCCTAMGTTTTGAATATCTTATGAAGTCAGTGTGTAAATAATGTGACATGCATCTTATCTCGTGTCACAATTTGTTAGATTGAGCCATTCTTGTGAATCTAGTACAGAGATACATGCGAGTGCATTGTAAACCGCAACAGCTATATCCCTCAACTAACAAAGAATAATTCATTTCATTTTGAACATTCTTACTTGTGGATGCTACTGTGGTTGTTTCCTGTAGTGGTGCCGCGGTCTGTGTTGGAGCATCTACATGATATATTTTTTAGATAAACTTACTAAACTGCAGAGAATAATAAAAAATTTACAGCTCAGTGCGTTAGAGTGTTGCCACTGAGATATCGCATACTTCTGCCTAGCGATCGATTTTTAAATCGATCAAGATGCTATTTAAAAATAGCGTTTAAAAATAGCGTCTTGATTCCAGGTAAGTAAGATAACACGATCCAAAAATATGCGAAACGTTTACCGTGGACACACATTTATTCGTGCAATAAACTATACTTCATTTCATGTTGTTATATGTATATTTAGCTAACAGAGGTTTGTTCTTCAGCTTGTTTAGTGTCATGATCAGTACCTGTTGTAGTTCGAAGTACTACTTGTGATGTGGCCACAGCTGTTGTAACGGCAGGAGTTGTTGCAGCAGTTGTTGTAACGGCAGGAGTTGTTGCAGCGGTTGTTGTAACGGCAGGAGTTGTTGCGGTAGTTGTTGTATCAGCAGAAGTGTCCGCAGAAGTTGTGGTAGCTGCTAAATAAAAATATTGAATACAAGTGCAAATGAACTATTTAATTCGTGGTATTTGTATAGTGAAAGATTATACAGTTGCCATTTTCTTACCATACGTAGACTTTGCACTTGTAGTAGTTGCAACAATCCCAGGTTTACCTTTATGAAATTAGAATAGTGTAAAAAAATCAAGAGCTCGATCATCATAGTTGTGTGATGAACCTGCTGTATCTTTGTTTCCATTGCAGTATTAACTCAACTTTCCTGCTCCTGCTCCGTTGTAAAAGGTAGCCGAGCAGTTTCATCGCAACGAGACTGCAACAATGCTCGAAGTGAAAGATACCGTTTTTAACACCGTATTTTATCGGTAAATTTATCATCTGGTTTGAAAACTTGGGCTAATTCAGGTGTTTTACTCTGTTACCTGTGCATGTTTTTCCATCTCCAGTCATCCCATTAGGGCAAGGTCCACATTGTATTCCACTTGGAGTGTCTGAACACTGAACACCAGGAAAACATGACTGATTTGTGCATTTTTGGATCTTTTGATCGCATGAGGATCCTTCGAAGCCTTCATGACATTGGCAAGTATAGTTATTGATTCCGTCTATGCATGTRCCTGAGGAAATAATTCAATCTGATTGACTTTGCACTTTTTATGTCGTTGAAAATAGACGGTTAGATGTCCTGGAGACTATCAAAAATGAGAGAATAATGTGAAAAGGAATTTATACATATACTAATACAAGTTCGTTTGTCAGCGTCGTTGTGTGTTCGTGGCTTATTAACTTTACATGTATATGGCAGAAGCAGAATTGTGTAGACATTTCACCCGACTTAATATAAGTATTTGAGGATTGACAACACAAAAGGGCGACAAAGAATTAAGACCCCTTTGATGCACTGGGTGCATGAAACGCGGCTTGGCCTACTAGATATTTCCGCCGAAGCTAAGACCCCTTTTGTGATGTAATCTCTGATTTTGCCCTGTAATTATGCAGTACRGCATACGCAAGAGACGCACCGACAGCTGCTAGGCTGCTCATTTTCTTATTTTCAGTAAGTTTTAGGAAAGACAAAAATCTCAGTTTTGTCTGAATGAACGAAGTTGCTTGAATTCCCATTTTTACCACATTTTTGTAAATTCATGCGCGTTGATTGGCTGACAAGAGTGACATGCGCATCATGTATGCAACTGTAAACTTTGAATGTTCTTGTACATCAACTTACCGTTACCGCAGTCTACAGCCACACAATCATTAATRTCTGTTTCACATGAAGAACCATTATATCCTTTGGGACATTCACAGTTATATTGTCCAGATCCCCTTGGTGAGCTGGGTGAAGGTTTGCATTGACCACCATTTTTACAATGGCAYACCATATAATTTAGTTGAAAATTGATTGTGTCCCTCGCATTACACTCATCTGTGACGGCAATAGTAAAGYTTATGTTTTGCGCCTTTACACTGACCTGCAGCAGGCCAGAATCATTCATTGAATATCCGCTAGTAGCTGTAGTACTTAAAATGGAGAACGTGAGAGGCCGGTTATCGGGATCCGATGCTATAAACTGCAAACGCAGATTTTCTCCAACCATTCCGTAACGCGTAACTCCTTGGCCTTGTGCAAATGATGGTCGGCGATTATCTATGACGTAATTAATTAATTCAGTTAGAACTGAATGAMATCGCTTTTTACTGACGAGCATATTTTTTACAAATATACCAAACATACCAGTTTTTTACGKTTACTGGGATAAACACAATACATACCTTTTCTGTCAGACCACGTGTCGTTTCGAATATCCGGCATGCACTGCTGGCACCAGTCTTGAGGGTTGACGTCATTGGCACCGTAACAGTTTCCATTTATTAGACAAGAATTGTTCTGAAAAACAGTGAAATATATTACTGTCTAAAGTTAAGAGCATTATAAAATTAAAACATGGAGATGAAGATCTGCAAGGGTAATGTATAATAAGAAGAAACGTTGAACTTTAGAAAGCGTGATGTAGACCTACAAAAGARTTGATTCATAATTTTTACATACTTTGTATACACTTTACATACGAGACAGACAAAATTAAAGTGGGAGTCTATCGTTTTTGGATACGTCACGTACGACACGCATAGAAGATGGGACACTATACTGGTTCATAACAGTCAATCATACTGTCCAGCATCCAACCACCAATGAACTCAAAAGCTTAGTGTTGTGCGATCCATAAAGCATAGAGACGAAACGGTTGTCTCTGACCCTACCTGTCCCCTGAGGGACAGAGAAGCACAATAGCTCTACTTCCATCGGGACCGCTTTTGGCTATTCAGATTGGGCACTGGAGACCCGACCGTTTTCCGGCCGAACAGATCCACGTGAAGCAAACCAGTGGCCGGCTGTACGAAGGGTGAAWATCTTTATCCACCGGAGATAAGTCCTGCTTATCTAGCGGTTGCGGAAATCCATACAAAATCTATGGAGTGCATAACTTTTTTAAGCATTTTATTTACACAAAGRCAATTCTTATTACTCACTTTTGAAGAGCAATCATTTGAAGACATCGACCTAATTTTCCTTCTACTTCTTATTTCTACTTGATGCTTTTCTTCGGTAAACTCTAGAGCGAAAATCATAACAGGATGTCGATGAAATGAAACACAAGATGAACATAAAGTCTCGTCAATTCAGTATATGCTTACATTCCATAGCTCAACCTGTTTTAGATTTTAAACCACTGTATGATTGGAATGATTTAGTAATTCACTTTCGTTTTGTATGTGTGTTCACTAGTAGTTGATTGTACAGTTTTGCATTACAGATTTTGCACTGATATCACATTGAAACCGGTACTAATCCGGAGGAGCAATCACAAGGAAGTGAGATTTCGGGTTATAATGTATGCTCTCCTCTACAGGAAAAATAATTTTCATGCGGAAGGGCGTGTTTAAAGGTGTTGAATTTAAGCATCAAATGTGATTAGAACAAACAAAAGAAATCAATTATATTGTATTCACGCATTTAATAAATAACCATTGCAAATAACATAAAGACAAAAAAAAATAGTGTAAAAGAGATCAAAAAGCATAAAAAAATATTTTAAAAAAGGTTAAAAGGAATCCGTGTAGCTAAAATATTAAAAAAGACTGAGATTATCACACAGGGTTTAAATCTTATTATAGACTTAACATATGCTATAGGACATATTTCAGTACATTCAAATAATCATGTATTTTCCCAGTAAATCTGAGACTGTTAGATTCACTAGTATAGTGTTATGTTTTTGCATATCAATCATGTGCTTCTCGCATGATGATTGCGTATACCGTTAGACCTTGAGTTGCCTTGAATTTAGACATGTATAAATAGCTTTGCGTTTTTGTAATACAACACATTCTGTACATTATACCCTGGCACATGACGAGTGAGTTAAGCTGAGTCGAACCAAAACAAAGATAACCTGAACCGAGTTTGGACTCCAAACTTAAAGTTGTACCACATATAGGAAGTTCAACTTGGTCTTCCTTTTCAATCAGTAGGTCCATATATAAAACAAAATAAAAAAGCACTGAGACCAGGCCCCTCATCACACACATTATAAGTCTAATATTGGCTGCAAATCCAATTTTGAAATGCTGTATTCTATAGGCTCGAAATTGATCACACTATAGTTTTAGTTATAATGCTGTCTTTTTTTTTTAATTACTACTGCTACTTCCTTTATAATGAGATCCTTTTTATCAAACTTACTAAAAATGCATAAAAGAATGTTATTCGTAGGTACTTCATTGAAAAAACATAGCTTCATACTCTATAAGAACCTAAATTTAACAAATCTTCAGTGCTTAGCAAAAGGTCAATGTGTACTGAAAACAGAGAGACATTCAATGTTTTATCAGTGTACATTCAGGAATAACTAATTAACACGTATCGCGATATTGTACACTGTGTACGTTGACGAGGCATCATTGGCATGCAATACTATTATTCTCTAAAGGCTGTTGTCTCAGTTACCGAAAGGTATGCATTACACCGCAAAAAATGCTCTGATGCGCGATGTAATGTTTATACTYCAATATTTTCAAAGCACTTTATTGCACTCAGAAGTGATCACAATTCAGTGTCATCAGTAATGGCACATATTCTGATAACCCAATCTACTGCCAATAATCTGGCGCTATGGATGATTTTATAGATTGTCTTCGAATACTGTAACGGGACWGAAAAGGTCACTTACAACGGTCACTGGATTGAGCATTTTCTAGACTTTGACTTTTATCATGTAATAAACATTCTGTCAGTGAAAGACTGATATTCCCAAATAAAAACTAAGACTTCTTTGTTATTAAAAGCTTACCTGTGCAATACGCCATACAACGATTTGGTGTAGGCTGCAAATAGTAGACGTAGTAGTTCCCACAGTTCTTAATGCGAACATAGCGTGGATACATACACCTTTTTATCCTGTTGTCTATCTTCACGCACGCTACAACATTAACTTCTTCTCCTTCAGTATCTGGATGTGTCCCTTTGACAATCCATATCGGGGCAAGGGTACCACAGTGGCGAATCTCTGGCTCAGTAGTTGGCATCTGTGCTTGCATAGCCATTGTGAACCGATACCAGCCTGGAACAAAATTACTATCGCATATAGCTTTTTCTCCTTTTGCTAAGATGTGTCTAGTACTTCGTTTCGGTTCATTGATGGGAATATAGTTAGTGCAAGGACTTGAATCACTRTTAACAAACTGAAACACTACCAGAATTAGCCCAGAAGCCAGGACATGCACCAGTGTTGAAGCCATGCTGATAAGGAGTGAATTTGAGTAATTTTTTTTGTTGAATAATAAACTAGATATTGACCTTTTGGTCACACATTGCGTTAAACTGAGCTAAACTAATCTTTATTGGAGTCTGTAGTTATTCAACTTTGACAAGTCCTGTTGTTTGCAATAACGAGCAATAAAAAAGTTATCAGATTGTTGACTTAGCCTATACCATTACTTCTGTTGGCATAAAAGACGGTGAGATGAAGCGGACCTAGAAAGAAAATGAATGGCTGTCTGCCAAAAAGGGCTTGCCGCGAGGTAATTATATATTTATAATAAGACTAAGTATCMATTCCGTCCGCGTTAGTGGGACAATAAAATATGTATATTTAGYATTTGACAAATAATTACTTGTAACTTATGGTCATTATCGAGACTTTCAGACTGTGATTTAATATTGGTCAACGCAATAAATTTGTCTTTAATCAGTCGCATAATAAACTGTAATTAAGTCCGATTGAAGTACAGAGGTAAAACGAAGATTCTAGTCGATGCGCGGTGTTTTTATCCCTCGAAGTATATTCTTTTTCAGACATGTGTTATTATTTTGTATTGTCTAGTAGTGACAAAAGAAWGATATAAATATAGATATGTACTTATTTTCTAAAAGTAAAACTCAGTATATTCGTCTCGTCTGTCTAAACGAATAACCAATTATATTTACATAGYRATTTTAACTTCAAATGCCTCAAGTGCAGAAAGATTGAAGTCGTCTTCATTTTAATCTATCATTTCCTTAAAAGGCTACCGTCTTTCAAGTGCCGTTTTTAACAGTAAAGTCTCATTTTCATCGCTTTTAGATAAGATATGAATCTACATCACGCTAGCCAGTGATGCGACACGTCAATATATATTATGCTATTGTAAAATAAATATCTATAAAGTCACTCATTCGATCAGTGACGTTACGTCGATTCTTTTTATAGACATACTTGCTTCTAAAAATGTTTAGATAAGCAGTGTAAATGGTTGCCCAGCAAGAAARAAGAGAACACATGCTCGTAACGCCATCTTTTGTTCAACACAGTAGTTTGATACACCAATTAATTAATCTGAATCAGCCCTCTGGCTATTAATGAATGTTTACGTTCCTTCATTTCATTTGTCAACACAACAAATCATTGTTTGCTCTTGATATCCATATTGAATTCTGAAATGTTTCCACGATTAGAAATATATTGATACTGCAATCAAAACTGTCCGTGAAAAGCCAAACACAATTTACGTTTGCTTAGCCTATTATCTATCGATAATCCTGCAGGGTTAAATTACGGATTCACTTTCGAACAGCACAGCCCACTCCCCATGCTCAGTTTCCTGTTTCAACCTTGAAGACTCTCCCCAGGACTCGCTCGTCCTTCGAGACTGCAAGCATTCCTTGAAACAGTGTACATCTGCTAAGGCTAKTCTTGAACTGAAATAGTGGTTTACTAGATAATCATTTTCTTCTTTCATTCTTTTCTTATTAGWCATTGCTTGGTCTCCCTGCGGACTTACGTTGCGGTAATTTGTTCTAGAATAAAATGCCGTATTCATCATATCAAAAAGTATACTCAGGATTGTGTATCTTCCCATTGAATAATGAGCATTGAAATTCCCAACAAATCAGAATTGATAAGAACGCTACAGTAGTTAACAACAAATCTGATACTGTAGGGTACGGACTCGATTCGTAATCACCGTTTCCAAGTCATACGAAGTCGACTCTAGAGTTAAATTACACTGCTTTTTTATTGRTACTTATTGTCTAGTCTTCACTGTCTTGAGCTGTATTTGGCACTATTTGGTTAGTAGAAAATGACATTCTATAGAATGTATGCACTTTTTCACGCTAGTAGTGAAGTCAAATATACAAAGGAAAACAGTGTAATATATATTTCACGTATTTGTTTCCTTGTTTTGTTTGTTTACTTACGACAGAGTGCAAACACTAGAGGCATGAAGAAACCTCTAAACAAATAGTGTCAAATATAGTAATGTAGTGCAGATTAGACAATTTGTTTATAATATTTATTATATTACGCGCTCCTGGACTGGTCG